ACAGAGAAAGGCCCAAGGTAGGGAAAAAAGTATTAGAAGAGGAGAAAGGGAAAGTCTATATTCTCATTAATTCTCTAGTCTGTGGAGAAAGATTTGTTTCTATAATGAAATAGGAGTTTTTCAGGAGGCTTTTTTCACTCATATTGATATCAGATAATAGACACCAGCTAAGGAAAGGGCCTCAGCTAAACCTAAATACACATGCAAAATTCCTGAGCCATTTCTGCTTTTGGGAAGGCAAGAATCCTTCTGGAATGAAAGAAGAAAAAATTTAAGAATTAAAATAATTTAGAAATTCTGAATATATTTCTGTTCACCTGCCCATTTTCCTCAGGGAAGAGTACATGTCCCTGAAAAGATCATACTGTCAGGGTGGTTTTGTTTGGCAGACAAAGTAGAAGTTCTAATAAATCAGCATTTGGTTTCCTTTTAACTTAGGAAATTAAAAGGATATTTTATCTTTTTTGCATTTATATTTTATCTTTTTCACGTGAGACTTTATGTGATAGGCATGCAGACAACCAGAAGGACGTTTTCTTAGGTAGGAAATTACTGAATATTAGGCAGAGCCTGTTTGTTACTGCCCATACCCTTTGCCTTGTTCTTTCAAAGGAATGGGTTTCATGTGAAACAAATAGCCTGAAGTATCTATTTTAATGGGATTGCAGTACATATGCACTAGTTTCTTGTCTAAAGCAATTTTCTCATTACCTGCCTTGCACAATCTTTCACAGTGCCTTGAATGTGCTTTATTCTACTCAGATATTCTGTAGGAGTGATGCAAACCCAAAGTGAGATTTGCCTGAGAGACTGTGAGAGTTTGGGCCCTGGAGCCTGTCCTCATTTATTGGTTCACATCCTGCATAAATTCAGTGGCAGCTATCAGCACTAAGTATTAGTACTATCACAGGTTTCTGAAGTAGAGCACTAGAAAATAAGAAATTGCTCTATTTGTGACCACTTCTCTCTTAACATTTTGACTCCCAACCTGTGGCTGTGACAGAAATGAGTTCTTTTTTTGTGGCTGAATGAATTGCGTAAACCACAACAGCATATTTCTGCTAGGCCTATTACCAATACATTTCAAAATGTGTAAAACAGTATAGTATATTTGCCTGGGATCATGAAATTTCTGAACTCTATTGCCACAGCACATATGATGCAGCCTTAGAAGAACTAGGAAGCATCATGTGATAAAATCTCAGTAGAAGTAGGTATTCTTTAGATAAAACAAAACAAAAAAAAGAATGTGAAAATGTGCCCAAGATTATTATAATGTGAAAAAAATATGGTAGAAACTGAGGCTAATGCTTGCCCTGCCCCTGAATTTCATTTCAGAAGACTAATTCTGAGAGGCCGAAGAGAGGACTTTCTTCCCAGGTAATTTTGTTGAAGTGAAATGGGGGAGATTTTTTTGTCTGATAGCCAAACTCCTCTTCCAAATGATGGATTCTTCTTGGAGATCTATATCCCTGTCTGGCCAACTGGAGGGCCTGAAGCAGCCTCTTGGGAATTGTCAAGTGCTTTAAGGCTGGTTTTTACCTGTGGGTCCCCAAGCTTTACATTCTGTCTTGAGCTTGTGGAAGTTGCAGTACAGGATCATAGCAGACATCCCATAGAAAATGAAATTGCATTACATTTTCAGTCACTTATAAAGCAGTGTGCAGCAGATCCTCAAGTAGTTTATTTTCTTTAACTTATGGGTGTATCTCTGGAAGGAAACACATGTTTCTCCTCATGGTCAAGTCCTGGAAGTTGCAGTTTAAATTTGATGAAGTGTTTTATTCCCCCAGATAAAAACAAATAAATAAAAAATTATATTTAAATGCATTTGTTGATGAGGAAAGTCAGGAATCCTCCTAATTAAGACATTTCTTAGAAAGGTAAAATTTTTATCTGCGAGCATAAAACACTTCATCAGTTTTAAAGCCACATCTGCAAGCAGTGGATAAAGAGGAGAAACAGGCATTTTTCTTCATTCTGGCTTGTCTGTGAGTTTAAGACTTTTAACAACTGTTTTTAAAATATTTAAACCCAGTTAGAAACACTTGCAATATAATAGGAATAAGAGTGCCCTCCCTTCCTCTGTTTTTAATCTGGTTCTCTTGATGGAATAAACTACAAGGTTGAATTGGTAACTGGATTATTGCCTCATAAAACAGCACGAGGTTACTATTATCCTTTAATTTTATATCTTTATTAGGGAGTAATGTTGGTCTTATTTAAATCACTGACTTCTCTAATGGTTTTTCTCTCCTTTTACAAATTTATAAAACTAAACCCTAAAGGATTTGGTCTAAGTGCAATTGGCATAACTGCCATTATAAAAATCTTTGTGCTAGCAGTTGGTTATAATCAGCCACTTTAACTGGGCTCAGAATACAGCAGAATTTAGCTGTTGATAGGTAGAATAATACTGATAAAATATTATTTCTGAATTTTATTTCAAAAAGCTCCATTTCCAGTAAGAACTTCTGAATTTTGAGGCAGTGTAATGATGAACAGCAGTGCCCTGGAAACTTACAATTTAGCATGTTTTTGCAAATCATGTATTAAATATATTTTGCATTTCTGCAAAGACTTAAATAAGCTTGTCTTTTTCATGCAATTCAGTAAAGTAATTTTGAAAATTCATGAAAGTTAGTCTTTTTTAGAAGGCAACTAATACAAGTGGCATATTTAATGACATATTCCAGTGAATACACCCACCTGAACTTTGAGACACAACACATACTATGGGTGAATCATTGGCAGTTCTTAGTAGTAAAACTCCTATTGGATTTGTGTCATCAGGATGTATTTAAAATTTTGATACTCTGGAGTTTTTTGGGTTTTTTTTAATGTGAAATCCATCTGTTGATGTCAGTGTGCTTTGATTAAGCACCCATCAATAGGGAAAGAAGCATGGGTCTGTCTGTTTTGATGTAGCTCTGTAGTTGAGTTTTGTACAGAAAGTGAAGTATCTGCCACCTTCAGTGTCTGACTGATAGAATTAGAGCATTTACTTTGAATGCAAGCCAGGTACTGCCTTTTTCAGTCAGTATACTTAGAAACCAGTCAAATAATTTGCTACAAATTTTATATTTTGACCATTTTTTTTTCTGAGAGCAATCTTACCGGTGCAATGACATGAACACCCTACAAACTTTTATTTAAATCAAAGCAGATTTTATGTTTAAATTATTAATGGGATATTTTAGTATTGTCATAAAAATTCATCTCTGTGTTTGCATTTGCCTCCTTTGATTTGGACTGCTGCAGGCAATGCCATGTAGAGCTGCTTTCTCTTAAAATATCCATTGCTCATGGCGGGCTCCTTTCTGAAAATTGCCTATAATAGGAAAGAAACCCTTCAATTCCCCTTTTAGCTTCACTGAAAAAAAATGGAGAAGATATTTACAAATAGAGGAGTATGGGCTCCACATTGACCACAAAAATCATGGGAAGTGATTACAGTTTTGGTGGGGGCATTGTGGGGGAAGATCAATGTCTTGGATCCCTCTGAAATTGAGAGGAGATTGAAAGCATTTTGAAAAATGGTTTTTCAGCTGTATGATACTATAAAATACATGCAACATTACTTTTTTAAAATTTGTCTTTTCCTTATGAAACATCATGGCAAAATTAATGAAACATGAATGTAAATAATTTTGAAACTTAGGCAAGAATGAAGAAAGACAGGAGGGTGTCACTTGATGGCAGGAAAAATCCAGGTGAAATTTGAAAGCAAAGTAGACTGGGGCTGTGCATTTATGTGTGTTCTAGAAAATATCCAATGCAAAACAAAATGAATTTTTGGGACTTACATTTTGGGGAGTAAGTGGAGGTATGGCTAGTAAGTGGCACTTGAGATTCTGAGAGGAGGTATTCAAAGGGCAATGAAAAGCAGTGGGTGAGAATGTGTGGGTGCCATGGGTTGTTCCACACAGGTTCCATTGCTCTGGCTCCTTTCAAATATTCTGCAAATGCCAATACAGCTGTACAGGTTTTTACTTCGGTTGTGTTTATTAATGCTTGCTGGTCAGAATTTTAAACAGAGATCTATGATATGATAATATTATTGAGCACAGTCCAAGGTAATTCCTTGTGGTGTCTTCTTGATTAACAAATCTAGGTAATATTGATAAGCAAATCCAGGAGGTTTGGGTTCCTAAGTGTATATGTTCATGTATTTATTTTTTAATGTAACATGAACTTTGATTAATGATATGATTATTGCATATATGAAATATCCCTGTCACTTTTCTTTTTGTTCTAAATTATGCAAATTTATGTAAGTCCAAAATGGATCTTTTCTGAGAATGGAGATTGTAAAATAATCATATAGCTTTATAGTTAGGGTTACCATGATAATTCACAGGCAGAACTCCTGGAAAATAGAATTTTCTTGTTGAAGATCTCCATATTTGATGAGAATGATTCACCCTATTAGAGAAGGTATAGACATAGCAGATAATTATGATAATGTCTGTTATTTAGCACTTTGTAGGGAGCCACTTGTTATAAACCACTTTGTGTATTTAATTTAATCCTAAAGGAATTTAATGAACCTTAGAGAGGGGACTTCACGCTGATAATTGCATAATAACCTATTTTTATGCCAGACACTTAATGGCTAAGAGGTTCTCATTAAATGTGTATTAAGCAGTTCTCTTCTATAACTGTCTTTCTAAGATGTTCTCTCATGGGTTATCATTTATTGACTACTTAACAGCTGCCTGTATTCAGCATTTTAGCTTCTTTATGGGTTTGTTTTCAGAGTTGTTTTTTCTCTTGAAGGAGTCAAAGAAAAGTCCCTGTTTCTGTTGTTATATTTTAGATAGTTCCCAAAATAATACTGAAGGTGTTGAAGCACTTTACATGAAATTAATCTTCATATGGGAACTTTGCTTCAGATTTTAGTGAAACCACAACCTCAGTTAGGATGTTTGTTTATTGCAGATTTGCTTTAGAGGACCATAGACTAACATGTTGGTTTTTAAACTTCTCTTTTAATTTAGACTACTGAGCTGTAAATTGAAAGGAAGATAATTTCTGCTTGCGGAGGAAAAGAAAGGTGAATAACCTCAATGGAAGACTCTCAGGATCTAAGTGAACAGTCAGTAAGTACAAATGTTGCTAAATTGAATGGAATAAATTGAACTCTGTTCAACCAAGCTGTGTAAAAGGATTTTACTTTGGATTTGAAAATTATAGTAGGATCTGGGGAAATCTTCCAAGCTCCTAGTTTTAAACCTTTTAGTTTGTACATTAAGAGAATGGGTGGTTTTAATATTTTTTCCCTGTTGAAAGGAACAAGATCTTTGTTATGTAAGATTTTGCGGAACTACAATTGTTAGAGGGATATAATTAAGCTACATTGGAAGAATAAAATGTTAGAAATATGAACAGTGGTATGCCTTGTTCAAATAATTGCATTAAAATGTATCTCCACAGTGATCTGTCAGTTTTTCCAAAACAAGGGTTACCAAAAACAGAAGCAAAATATTTCAAATGGTGAGACTGTGGCAGATGACATACATTAATTTTTTCAGGATTTTCTTGGATTTCAAGGGGATGGTGAGAATTGGTAGTCTATCCCCCTGTCCCAAGTCAGAGAGAGTCTGCTTTTCACTGACGAAGTTTCTGGGAAAAATGGGGTGGACATTTCTTTTCATTTTGCCTTTCTTATTTTTCTTTGCCTTTAAGGACAGATCTCCTCACCACCAGACTGCAGTTCTGAGGAGACAGCAGGCTCTGAGCAAATACAAAACTATCTGGGCTTGCCATCCAATATATTTGGCTTTTTAGCATCTTAATTTTCTGCTGTTTCTCACTGCTTACAACAGGGACACATTTTGCCAGTACCATGATCCCTATGATTCACTTGAACTTAGTGAACTAAAGATGAACAAAGGGATTTAGTATTCCTATTTCTGACATGTTGAAGGAGGTTATCCATGCAATAAACCTGTCTGAATATATATATATATTTTAGAGACTTTTAGGGGTAACACAAGTGCAAGGAAGTGGGAAGAGTTGCAGTGTTTCTAAAAGGTCAGTAATTTTCTTTAATAAGGAGTACTTTTCTCCTGGCTGGGTAGCTCCTATCTGAGACTTTATCTTGGACTAGAATTTTATTACTGATTTTAAATGGTACAGAACTGGAAAGACTTAACAGTGTCTTAAGTCCTCATGGTGGCACTACCTGGGACAGCTGCACATATTTATGTATTTAAAGTGTTCCCAAGCAAAACTTTAGGGCCTGTAAAAGCCACATGGCTTCATAATTTAATAAAGTTTTATAAAAGTCATAAAAGATTAGGCAGAAGTTCATCTCTTGCAGTCTGTGAAATAATTTTTCTGTGGAGTAATCATGGTGTGGTTATTAATAGGAGGTAGATGAGCCAGTTTAACTTACTGCAAAAACAGCTTTCCGTAGTAGTTAAAATGTTTTTGCAACACTGGATGCCTGATAAATGCATATTTTAGAAGAAATTTTACTACTCCATCATAGTTTAATCTCTCTAGTATTTCTCATAATTTCTACATAGCTTTATGCTACATATGAAAATGGTCTGCAGATTGCAAATTCAGGTGAAATCTGTGCTGTGTTGCATATGAAGGTAGGATTTGCTGTCTTTATGTTAGTGTCACAAAAAGTCATGATTCAAGACAAGTTTATTCTTCTTACTCTTCACAAACAGGGTCAGAACGTGAAGGTAATGGGTGGGAGAGCCATTTCATCACTCCCTGTATCCAGGTGGGTGCTGAGACTAAAGTATTGCCAAGAGCTTGGGCACAGTCCTGGGAATTGTGTGAGGCCTTTCTGCCTAGGGCCGGCACTAAGGCTTCATTTCCCAACTTCAAAAGTCATTTCACTCTTACATCATGGTTAAAGTCCTCTCAGCCAATTTCCAAACAAGAAAATAGCGTCTCTGGCTTAGTTCCTTAAACAGGGCATGTCTGTGGGCTAGAGATCTCAGGAAGCAGGAGGGTTTGCTGGTTTAAGTGGTTTAAACTCTAAGAAGATATCAGATGTATCTGCTTGAAGTGTAGCTGTGCTGTTTTGTACTGATTAATGTGTTTTATACTGGTTAGCTCTGGGCAGTTTCTGCCCATTAGGCAGGATTTTTAATTCTTGATGTGTTCAGGGAGCACAAGTACTTCTTTCCAGCCTCAAAATGTCTTTTAGAAGTTAAATGCATAATATTTAGATAATGAAAATTCATGGAGAATAAGGAACTAGCCTCTACTGCATGTGTATTAGATTGTGTGAATAAGGATGAGGGCAAGACCTGTGCTCAAACTTGTGTTGATACCTTGGTTTCAAATAGTCTAGTCCTTGGTTACTTTAAAGACTGCCTTTCTCTGCAGCTGAGATGGGTTAGAATGTGTTTGCTTTTGCATGGTGTGTTTGATGGACAGTTGAGTTTTCTGAAAAGAAAGATTCCTTTATTGGATTAATTTCCCTGGGAATTATGTTAAAGAAACTTTCATCCTTGGGAAAAGAAGCCAGGCACAGTTCGTTTGTACAGTGAACAAGAATAATTTTCAAGTTTTTATTTTTTTTTAAGTTTTATTTAAAGAAAGGATATTATTCTAACTTTTGAGAGTAGATCATCTTCCTGAGACATGATATATTGTAGTGTAGCATTTATTCTGTCAGTCTTCTCCGTAAGTCTGAAATCACTATTATTATTTTAACTAAAAAAAATACACCAATAAGAAATTATTAGTTCTGTGATTCCTGTCCTGGAAGTATTTCAGTTAGGTGAAACTTATATGATCATACCTAAGAGCAACTCCACAGCATCCCTGTTGAGATAAAATTTTATGAAAAATAAATTCTTCCCCTTTTGGCTCAGAACAATGACTGTATGATCACACACTGCTTCAGAAATCTGTGCTCCCCTCTTCTCAGATCTTCTGAAGAATTGTATTTAACTGAATTGAGCAGCTGCTGTTTTCTGAGATGCCAGCTTTATTAGATGTTATATATATCTATACATATATACATATTATGTCAGTAATTTATTTGTTTTTCCTATTTTTGACCAGAAGTCAGTCTACTTGCCTAATCGGTGCTGTAGAGCCTCTGTATTGGGAAACCTCTTGTGCCCCCTTTCCTTGCCTTCTCCTGGTGGCAGAGGTGAGAGAATCAAGTCTTAATCAAGACCATTCAGCAAGAAAAAGAGTCAGAATCAGAATAAAGTTTATTATACTCTGGCTTTCCTGTCTTTGCTCACAACTGAATAGTGAATAGCTCTATTTTGCAGACCAGCAGGAAAATGATACAATTTACTAGCTGATGCAGAGGTGAGCTGGGTTCCATCAGGTGCAGCTGAGATCCAGTGGATCCTTGCAGGTGGCATGGAGCAGTCTGGGATGAGGCATATCATGTTACTGTACTTTCTAGGGTGGGTATGTGTCCAAAAAAGCTCACAACTCTCTTTTCCTTTCCAATTCAGATACAGAATATATTTGTACATCCATGCATAGGACTTTATTTTAATTTATGGGAAGGCTCAGTTAATAGTATTCTGAGTGAAAAAGAGGAAAATAGTAAGACATGTATTGCACAGATAGAAGAAAATAACCAAATGATCCTTTTCATGTTCTGGTGTGACGTTTGTCTTCAGGTTCAGGCTACTGGTTACCAAGTGAAAGAATACTTAAAACCATATCAACTGATCTTACATGGAGCTATGTTATAAGTTCTATTTGTTTTGAAATGGAAAAGAAGGAAATTTTACACATCTTGTATTTATGAAGAGTCTGGCAATAGGGAAAGAAAAGTTTTTCAAGACTGATTTTGAAGATGATACATAAAAGTAATTTTTTAGCACCTAAATAGTCCTCTGTTGTGCTTCGGTATAGCAGACACATTTGGGATTTTGAGAACTACAGGTTTACACTCTTTATTTTGTCTCTTTTAGTCATCACTTTCTCTTCAGTCTGTATTAGTAGAAGAAGAACAATTTGGCTGCTAACTTACTAGTTTAAGGTTTCAAAGGGCCTTATTAGAAACTGGTGTAATTTCATCCCCTGGCCCTTTTATATAACAGCCTGCATATTTAGATTACTTCATTTTAACCTAGAATTAAACAATAGATTGCAGTGCTGTAGGACAGGACACTAGCAGATGTGAAGCTAAACGTGAACGAACAGGTTTTTATTTTTGTGACATTTGGACAATCATCCCCCTTGTGCCCTGGTAAGTTATTTGTTTTTTATCAGACTGTACAGACTGTTATATCTGTTACATGCATTTATGGCCCACTTGCAGATGGACAATCCTTGGCAACCTTTTTTGGACAGTGTTGTTTCCCCGTTTTTGTTTTATTTTAATGTGTGAAGCTGTCAGATGTGATCCCTTTGTAGATCAGTTTTCAGCTGCAGCTGTTTCTCTGTTGCCCGAGCCCTGTACCTGCAGCATTTAATCTTCCTCATATCTGGGGTGGGCAGCCTGCTAGCACTTTGGCTGGAGCTTATTACAGAGAAATTAAAATTAGTTTAAACACTTTACCTGAATTTTAAAATGCTTTGTTTCACTTTTCTGCATTGCAGCATAGCATGTTGTGGTTCTTATCTCTGTTATATTAGTATTTATAGGACTTGGAATATTACAGGCAATTCATCTTCTCAGGTTAGTGATGCTGCTTGAAAGAGATATCTGGAAGTGATCTGGTCTAGCTTCTGGTCATGAAATGCTGGCAGTATGCACAAATACTTCAGTTATGAGAGCAAGGAACATTTAAGCTCAGTAAGTGAAGAAATTACAGATGGAGTAAGAAAAAAATGTTTTCTTAATGAGTGATTTTAATTAAAATCAGTAATTGAACTAAAATGCCATAACTTTAACTCAGCTGTAATAGAAAGTAATAGAAAACGGGGCTGTCTTTTCAAAGTATTTTTGAGAATTACTAAGATATTTTACTACCTCTGTTCTACAGACACAGTAACTGGCATAGAGATGTGCTTTGCCATAAAGGATCCAAAATTATCACCCATTTTGAATTACAGTAGATAAGAATATATTGTAATATCATAATTCCTTGTCTCTCATCTAATAGGAATTAGAGGTAGAAACATCAATGTTGTTCTCTCTCAGCTGTAAGAC